ACTGTTTCCCGTATTGTAAAAAGCGAAGGCTGAAAATACTGCCATCAAATGGTAAAATTAAGCAGTGCTCTAACAGTAATTTGAGATCATTTGTTAGCAGCCAGCCGCCATATTGTTTCCTGAAGAAAGAAAAAAAAGCACAAGCTCGTGTTACGTCAGCTACTAGCAGGGCCTTTATTGGTCCAGTGCAGCACAGTGCATTCTGGTAGTTGTAGGTTTGCAGTTGTAGATACCTCTTGATCAAAAGCAAATGCCACAGCCCTTTCCTCTGTTTTCTGTTTTAAATGTATCTCTCTACTGCATAGACAACCTAGTCTTATAAAAAGACAAGCTTTCCAATAGTGAAATACTTCTTTAAGGAGGGGAGGTTCGTCGGATTTAAGTGTTATATATGTCAGTGTATCATCTGCAAAAAGGTGGAATGGAATAATGCGAGTGAATAATGAGGAAAAGAAGGGGCATATTAAATGAGAACAATGTTGGTCCCAAAATGGACCTCTGTGGCACTCTAAGGCTTACCAAGGAGGGGGTTGAAACAAAATTGAAATTGAAAAACATTTTTGGTTCAACAAGTAAGAGTTAAACTTCCTTTGCCCACTCAGTTATCTATCGACTTATGACTTATGTGGTCAGCACTAATATGAGGGGTCTGTAATTCCAGGTTGTGTTCAAGTTTTATTCCCCTAGGCAATCACATAATGTGACAAGAAATCCGATTAAGAAACACCTCAGATGGATTACTGGGCCTTTAACGGGCCTAAGGGTATTTTTATTTACAGCTGCACATACTGAGGCTGCAGTAACATTTCAGTATAATACAGCACAATTATGAAAACAATTTAAATCAGAACATCAGAATAGATCTGCGTCAATAAAATAGTACATGCATTTCAGGTTTCCTTTAATATTTTGTTCAGTGTTGTAGAGTATTTAAGATATTTTCTGTGAAAAGGAGTGTCAGTTTGGATCCGCTCTGGGGGGAAACTTCGGACAGGAGTCAGACAGCCTTGCCTCAGAAGTTCAGGTGCACTTGTAAACCAACAGGACCACCTAAGAGTTCTGTCTTTAGAGGCACAAAATGACTACTAAGACACAAAATGTTCAACAAAGAAACATAAAAACACAACAAGATGCAAACAACTACAAGGAGATGTTAAAATGGCAACAAAGAGACATAAAGCAACTACAAAGAAATGCAAAGTGGCTTCAAAGGGATGACTGCAAATGACATAACTGTGTCTTTTACATGTCTGTACCTTGGGGCCCCTTCTTTCATAACCTCTCCATGGGCCTGGCCTGTCTTGACCTTGTGTACATTATGTGAAGCAAAATATGGCTGGCAGGAAGTGGGTTTTTCTAGTACTGACACCCCTTGAAAGCAGCCTCTTTTTTCCTCCAAGCCAAGGCGCATAAAACCTCTCTTCTTCTTTTGTGGTTTTGTGTTGTCAGAGTGGATTGTAAGGACCAGGAATCAGCTTGAAGAATGATCAAGAAGAAATTTTCAAAAGCTCAAGGCCCTCTGACCTTGGGGAGGTCATTCGTCTATGCTGCGTGATCCAGTTGATGTGCAGCACCTTCGCTCTTGCTCTTGGCGCTATGAGCGTCCACATCACTTGTGTGTATGTGCCGCAGTACTGCGCTGTCACCAGCAGTCAAGGTGATAAACAGCGCACAAATCATGTCACAGCGAATGCTTACTTTCTCCCAGAAAGAGTTTCCCCGACAAGCGCAGCATCAAGGGTCTGGGTTTTGCAGCAGCATTGAATCAGTCACACTTTGGAGATGTGTTTGTGTGCTCAGTGTGCCAGGAGCCATGAATTGTATGTGAAGCTGGCTGATAAGAAGGCAAAAGAATAGGTCATGACAGGAAAACAGTCAAGAGGCATTGGGCTGCGGAGAGAAAAATAAGAAGCATATATGGCTTGACACTTTTCTGTGGCTGCTTCACTCTTTCCAGTAACACCTTGTCTGCACAGCAAAAACAACACGTCAGTAGCCCAACATCAGCAGCTGTAATCCTCTGTTAGTCTGTCCTGCATCTGTTTAAATGACTTGACAGACCTCACAGTTCACAGTCATAGACATAAGCACCTAAATGTGAAGAAAAGTTCAATCCATGTTGTTTGTAGCTGTGTGGATTAGACAGCTGGACTCTACTTTGTCCTTGAGGAGTAATAAAGGGAAGACTGTAAGAAAGTTTCTGATCCTTAAGCCTTATCTTAAATGGACTTTTACCCTTTAAACTAGGCTTCATATTGACTAAGACATATGTCAGAGTTGAAGGCCAAGTGGAGAGTTGTTGACTGACGACGTACAAGGCTATGTGCGTGTTTGTGCTGAGCAGAAACCAAAGAGAGGGTGTAAGACTCATCATACTATGAATCGGCTATTTAGTGGTACAGTGTACTACACTTCAATCAGTTTCTTTCAGCAGGATACTCTGTGGGCGGTGGTATTCAGCAGTACAATCAATTTTATAAATGGACATTTTATTGAATGAGTACAGCCTTGCTGACAACACATATAGCGAAACGCCTAATTAACTTCATTTGAGAGCTGTGAAGCAGTTTCAGGCATTGCAAAATGAGTTTTAAAATATGAAATAAACTCTACTAATGTATGAGATCAATGATGAAAATGATCATGTTGTTGGTGTTTCTATAAATCCAGATATGAATTCCCCTGTCTGTTTTACTGAGGGGGACGTGGTGATTTTTTCCATTTGAATCCCAACCATGATCTGAAAAGGCTTCCTCCTAATCACAAGGCTATAGAAGTGCCCACTAAAGCCATTGGCCACTAAAACTATGGAGAGACTAGGGTGACCTTATTTTCAAACCTCCAAACTGGAACCCATAAGTGTCCCACACATTCTTGCCAGTGACTTCGTAAATAATGGACGTAGCTTTAGTGACCTCAACCACTGGTCTGTGGTCTGCTGTTCTGAAACCTTGAATCTGGCATTTCAGTTGTTGCCATCTTGGTTTTTTGGAGCTGGAAGGGACCATATTTATGTTGTGTATACACCAAATACGATGCGAGTTGCGTTACACACACCTTTGAACGCTAGAATATTTTGTGTTGACTCGCCTTGTACATGTGAATAACTCCCGTCATCCAGGCATAGAAACATGTGCATGTGAGTGCCCAAAGGATGCAAATTTTCTCAAGGGGCTTCCTCCAACCACCATCTTTCAGTCTCAGTCTGAGCTCCTTTTTTTATTCCTGTTTCTATAAAAGTGGGACAGGGTGTTATAGAGCTTGGGGTAGCCACAGACTGACAAGTTCAGCTTCTCCTCCATTCCTCGGATGAATGAACTTTCGCCAGTATGTCCTCAGTGTCATAGGTCCCCAGAGGATCTTAATGCTAATTGGCTATCATGGCCCAAATTGGTTGCTAAAGTTCAGATCTTTAACTCTCGCGAATACGCGTTTGAAGCGAAATCACGCTACTCAGGTCATTTGCACTGCGTAATTCATGTAATTTGCGTCACTCGCATCCTGTCCATCGGCACGCCTGATGGGAATTTGCATCTAATCGCGTCTTTACATTAACTTCACTCGTAATTCACTCGCACAAATTCTTTTATTCGTGCTCGAGGTGAACACATTAGATGAGAGGCTTGTGCTGTGGAGAAGCAATGGGTGGATCTGACTGAGAAGCTGATGACACTATCGGCAGACAGCCTGTGACTGAAGTGGTCCCACCTTTAAATATGTTTAACTTTGGGCCTTATAAAATTGTAAACGGGTAAGTTATAAAAAAACAACCCTTGTACAGTTGTCATGAATGTTGAAATTAGCTATAAAGCCCAAAACCATTTTGTTCCTGCATGGTTATAAACATGTTTATTTCTGCTTTAACGTTGGGCATTTTAACATGGGGGTCTAAGGGGTTTCACTCTGTTTTGGAGCCAGCCTCAAGCAGCTGTTTGATGAACTGCAGTTTTTGGTACTTCCGCATTGGCTTCATTTTTCAGCCTCGGAGATTACCGCTTGGTTCGTACACATGTATGCAGTTATGCATGCACCACAGGCATTTTTATCAGGATGGAGGACAGTTATTTCAGTGCTTAGCACGCATAGTGCCTCAGAAACCACCAAACTGTCCCCTTGAAAACACATAAGACAAGTTCCTTATTTTGTGCCTTACTGAAATCATTTTTTTGGCTCTTTTGTGTTGCTTTGTAGTCATTTTGTGTCTCCTTGTGGCTCTTTTGTGTCTCTTTGCAGTTCCTCTGCACCTTTTTGTGTCTTTTCATGTCTCTTTGTGGTCATTTTTTGTACCTTACTGATCAGTACATATTAATTTAAGTGGCATTTTGCAAGTGAAGGCCAGGGTGCCCCCTTACACTTCAGGCCCCTGTGCCTGTACCCAGGAGGGCCTTTCAGTAATCCATCCATGACTGTAGCCTACAATTTTTGAGACAGTTAAAGGCAAGATAGCTCAAATTGCATTATAAAATCTACAATTCCACATATTGGATTTGTTATAAAAAAAAAATCCTGCCATCACTGTGACTGTGACCCTGACTGTGACCATGGCAATTTACTGTGCTTTGTTTTTCTTCTTTTTTAGAAAATTAAACTGTAACACAAAAAAGACATCATGTTTAAACTCTCATAACATCTTTCTTTTTAAAGGTTTGCTGAAATTTTAAAAGTTATCCTGTTATGACCGACCCTGACTATGACAATGTAAATTCTTAAGTAATAGCCCATTACTATCTCACTCCAAACTGAACTGAAAAGTTGGCAGCCAAGGCACATAAGCAATACAACCCTTGAATAATGTTCAAATTGCTTCTTTAACCACTTTGGCTCCGTTGATCATTAAAAAATGAACTTGCAGGTCAGATGTGGCCCTCAGTGACACACAACACTGAACTCACCCAGAGGACTTCCTGACCTCATCACAGCACAGCAAACACACACACCCGAACGCTCCTGAATGCGCACTGGTTTACATGGAAGAGGATTTCATAACAGGATATCAAAAACCCTTCTTTTCTGGTGCACCCCCCTCCGAGCAGCTTCAACCCTTTCTGTCTTTTTAGGACGACATAAATAGAACTATTAATCTTTGATAACAGCTGGTCGTAATAATAGCAGCACTTCTGTGTTGCTATGTTGACATAAGTGGTAGAACATTTTCTCATGGAGAGGTCGTGGTAGATACCCGCCATCTGCACTTGCTTCCTCCTTTATAAGAAGAGAAGAGGGCTGTTGGATGACTGGCTTCATCCTTCAGATCCGAGTGCCATCACTGTCGGCCGACAAGAATGTGCACCATTGACTGTGATCTGCATGTGGGCCGGGATAACACTTGAAATCATTTCAGTGGATGCTGATTGAAGAGGCGACATTGGGCATCATTCTGTGGAGCAGCTTTGGCTTTTATTTCTCTGCATTTACTCTGCGCGCATACAGTAGTTTTCTTTTTGATAGACGCATCTAAAATTGCCACGAAAACAACATTTGTCACTGATACAGTGCTGCTGTGAAAATTCTTGGTTTATCTTAACACATTTGAAACAGTCTGCTGTATGACTCTACACAGTTTGCAGCGACATAGATGTGTTAATGACAAAAGACACCAGAACATGAGCCAGCTATACATGACTTCAAATTAGAAAGCCGTGGGACAGCGACGCACACGGGGTGACGCGCTCAACGTTTCTACTCATCTGTGATCTGCTCAGACTGTTGCTCTCTCTCTGTCTCTCTCCGGTGCAGTCGTGCGTCCTGCCGCTCTCACTAACTCACCGCGGAGGGATTCAGTGCCAACACTTTCTTGTTGGACGCAGCGCACTGTGAGCGCACAGCTTTTTTTTTTTTTCCAAAGACGCAATCTGCGAAGTTTTGGTTTACAAACGCGGGATATTCCTCGGAGATAAAATGACCTGAGAGACGTGGTATAACCAGCAGCTCTGGCGAAAGTGGCGCGTGGGCGCTTGAACGCCAGCGCCGTGCGTAATAACTCTGGGAGCAGGTGGATGGAGAGGCTGGCGGGATGCAGCTTTCCAGCAGGTCAGCGCCGCTTCGGAGCCGTTGGACTCCATATAGTATCTGCTGAAGGACACCTTGCCACGATGGACTTGATATGAAGATGAAGTTTTCAATTTTCAATTTAAAAGTAAGTGATGCTTTTGAATTTTTTTGCTCGTTTTTTATTGCGCTCATTTAATTTGCATGTCTGTGTGGACTTTGCTTTTGCGCACTTTATTACAATCCTTCCATAGCTCTGTTTTGTCTGTTTAAAGTCACATTTTTTGCGTGACGCACAAATCATGGTGCAGAGTTCACTGCGTTTTTGGCACCTTAATGCATTAAATAATGAACGAATCCAAATAAAGTCAACATGTGCTTCATGCGCACTGTGGAATCTAGTCCTGCCTGATGGTATAAGAGGGGGTAGATGCTTCTTCATCCCAGCACAGCCAAAATAATTGGAACAGGTGCACCACAGTGGAGAAACATACGGAGTTTTGTCACTTAACAGAGAGAGTTGGTTGTAAACATGTCAGGGAGAGTTTGTCTTTCAGTCAAAAGGTCAAAGGTTTGTCATTTTATGTCAAAGTATCCTTGAGAAGAAAGATAAAGCAACCTGCTCACTGTTGGAGAAGGGTTTCCACTTCAATGTAAATGAAAGAAAGTCTCCTGTTGAGCTGGACATTTATCACACACAGCCTGCAGGTTGGTGTGAAGCTGCATCAAGCCAAGCTTCTGCTGCTTCCCTGGCAGCACCTCATCTATTCACACAGTCAGCAGCGCTGAGCTGAAATGCAGCTCCTGGCACCTGCGATTTATGCTTTTCTGTGAGGTCCATGTGAGCCTATTAGACTTTGCCTATGCAAGAATCTTAATGGTCTCCAGAACTTTTATTAATATAATTATCATGCTTGACACTTACACAGTAATTAGCCTGCCCCCTGCCAGTAAATAACACTAAAAACCCTTTCATCAGTGGATGTATTTTTGGTGCTTTTCTGTGCACTTTCCATGTAGCTCTCTCATTCACTCACTCTCACACTGTATGTGTGGAGCTCCAACGATATGTTTGTAACAACCAATAGAGAGTCTTTAGAATTTTACACTTAAAATCATTTTTTTTAATGAAATCGGACCCCTTTTAATAATAATTATGGCCAGTAATATTTTTACTAATAATCATTCAATCTAATTACATCCACACTAGTGGTTTTGTAGTGTTAGTGGCGGGGTCCGCCATTCCTGTGCTCACTAGGTGTCACCAAATGAACCACCAGGGAGAACTTGATGATAATAACCTTAAAATTGGACTTTATTGGGGTCTAGAGCTGCAAAGATTAGTTGATTCGTTGATCAACAGAAAACTAACAACTATTTTGATAATAGAAAAATCATTTTTTATAATTGTTTGAGCAAAAAAGCCAAACATTTGCTTGAAATTGATGCTTGTCTTTGTCATAAATGATAATAAACTGAGTAGCTTTGGACATTTGGATTGTTGGTTGCAAAAAAGAACATATCCTAATTAAAGATGTCACTTTGGGCTCTGGGAAATTATACTGGACATTTCCCATTTCACTATTTTTCTGACATTTTATTCACAAGTTGATCCACTGATTAATCATAAAATAATGGGCAGATGAACTGATAATGAAAATAATTGTGAGATGCAGCCCTATTTGGTTTCAGTAAAATCCCTTTAAATTGTGAGAAAGCAGTGAGTCACATGTAATCTCACAAAAACTTCAAAAGTAAGAGAGCTTGTAGGTCATCTTGGCCTTTGAAATTCTGCAATGAATTGTACTAATATGCTTTAGGTTGGTGAGCAGGTCATCGCCACGCTTGCAGCTGTCTGAGTCAAATATTCCCGTTACAGAGTGATGGTTAATGTGTGCAGCCATGTGAAAAATGGACCAGCCTCCACTGTTTGAGAAGGCAATGACTAGAGAAATAGCAATGGCTGGATTTTCCTATTTTTAACTGTGCTGAAATTGTTTGACAAAGCTAATTAGTGATAATTAAGATAACTGAATGATTGTTTTAGTCTTTGATGTTTTTTGACAGATGGGCAGATAAAACAAAAAGATTAAAGATTGACTCTGGTAATTACTGATGGGCATTTGTGGCTAGTTTTTACATTTTAGAAAATAGTAAAAGGAAAACACTGTGGATTAATATAAATGACCATAATTCTCTGTCGTTTAACCTTTACATGCCCACACATTAATCACACACAGACACCAGTATGCTGTTCCCTGATTTTCTGTGGTAAACAAGTAATTGTACCCAACAATTACTCAACAATATCCCTCATTTGCAAAAAGTGGACTGTCCAAAGTAGGCTCACATGTGCCAGTCGCATGTAATTCAGATAAATTATGAGAGCAAGAACTGGACAAATGTCCCTGATGCTGTCACTGCAGGGGCAGAATGAGTGATCCTGCTGCAGTGCCGGAGCTGTTTGTCCCCAAGATCAATTGAATAAACATTTGTCTTCTGCAGCACAGTAACTTTGTCATGCTCTCGCTCAGGCGTACCTTTTTGCATGTATGCATACATGGGGGGAGGCACACGCTCACATATGCACACACCTGACCTGGATGACTTAGTCAGTGTAACACTGGGAAGAATTACAGTCCAATCTGTGTTAGAAAGTGAGAAGAGAGCATATGAGCAGATGAGATCCAGCTGAATTTTTGACATTGACACAAAATGTCTCTAAAGTAGAAGTTGTGATGAGTTTTGTCGTCACTAACGCCTCTACATTTTCATGACATAGAAGATGTGTGTGTTTGGGTTGAGTTGTGTAGGGAGTGATGTAGCTCCAGTATTTTGCCTTTCACCCACCCCAGATTTTCTGTCTTTTTTTACTATGTGAGAAAATGGCAAAATTAATTTTTCAAAAGCTGAACATCATGTCAAAGTAGAACTTTGTATCTTGGCATCTTCCCTCATGTCTCTGTCTGCCAAACGCTTGCCGCTAGGGGAATAAGTCGTGTTGAGGATAATGAGAACTAAACATGCAAAAAAAACATGTCTGGAGTATTCTTTAGAGAGAATATTTGACATGTATCTCTGATTGAAGACGTGAGAGCAGTTATGTAAAATAACCTTGCAACTGTTGCCATGGATGTTGAGGGACTATTACTACTTGTCAAAGAAAAGTATTCTCAGTTTTAACCAAACTTACTGTTCTTTCACTCTGTTGTCTCTTTCTCCATAGATCTATCTTGCTCTATTACTGTTTCTCTACAGCTGGGATGTGACACTTGTGGTTCCTTATTATTGAAAATCCCCAGTCATCCCGATCCCCAGAGCCCCAAATCCCTAGACCCTGAAGTCTTTAATTCCCAAGCAAATCTTAGAATTTACCACCTCAAGTTCCTTTACCCTTATTTCCACAACCTTGCACCATAAAACCAATGCTTTTAAGCTTTTAAGCTGACTCAGTCATAATCAGACCTTTACCTCTTACCCCTTGCCATCTTTAGACACTCTGAGCCCTTAGATACCCTAAACCCAGTGGTGTAGTGGAGGGTATACGCAGGTATACGGGGTACACCCACTTCTTTTCCTGGTCAATTACAGTATACCCTCCTATCAGCCTAAAAGGAATATATAGGAGCGTAGTACACCTACCTCATCAACTACCACTACACCACTGCCTAAAGCCCTCTCAGTCATCATGGCCTTGGATCAGTGGCCCTTTCTCCCGACTCCCCCCAACATCTCCATCCCTGAGCCCCTCCTGTATGACAGCTACATCCAGGGGAATGAGTCCGACCTGGACCTGAACATCACCGAAACCAGGGAGCCTCACCAGGACAAGACCAGCTCCATGGTCATCACCTTCATCTATTTCATAGTATGCACCGTGGGGCTGTGCGGCAACGCCCTGGTTATATATGTCATCCTGCGCTATGCCAAAATGAAAACAGTGACGAACATCTACATCCTGAACCTGGCGGTGGCAGACGTCCTGTGCATGATGAGCCTGCCGTTCATCGCCCTGCAGCTGGCGCTGGTGCACTGGCCCTTTGGGGAGGTGCTGTGCAGGGTGATCATGACTGTTGGTAGGTGTGGAGCTAATGGTGTAATAGAAGGTTTATGGTCCACTTGAGAAAGTTGTTGCCATTTTACCAGGCAAAAAAAAACAAAACACTTTTGGCTTTCTCAAGAGAGAAAATTATCCTGTTATCACTGCTGCTGTGGTAGCAATTTAAACCCAGATTAACATCTGTGCTTTTTTAAATGTGAAGACTTCAGTTGCATATTAGAGAGTGTTTGTTCAAAACCTCAGACACTTGGATGTCTTAAAGGAGACTTTAGACTGCAGCTGCAGTTCAAACAGTGCTTGCCATCCTGGCTATCTTACTAACAGCCTTTATCTCACTTTATACACCTCCTGCTTTAATAAAAAAAGAGCAAGCATTAACAATTACTGATGCTGTTACTTGATACATATCCTCATTTTACTTTTCTTTCTCCACTGTTTCCCCTCTACGCCCTCCCAGACTCTCTTAATCAGTTCACCAGCATCTTCTGTCTGATGGTGATGAGCATCGATCGATACCTGGCTGTGGTCCACCCTATTAAATCCACAAAATGGCGCAAGCCCCGTGTGGCCAAGCTAATTAACCTGACAGTATGGGGTGTGTCCCTGTTAGTCATCTTGCCTACTATGATCTTCAGCGGCCTTGATAAGGTGCCAGTGTGTGGGATCGTGTGGCCGGAGCCCCAGGATGTCTACTACACAGCCTTCATAATCTACACCTTCTTCATAGGATTCTTCCTGCCACTGGCAGTCATATGTCTGTGCTACCTGCTCATTATAGTCAAGGTGAGAGCCTGCCTCCCCATGTGGGAAATTATAATGCAATCATTTTCTGTTTCTGCTTTTCCACTGTGCTCAAAGTTCAGTGACAAGATATTTTCATCACTGGCTACAGGACTAGAATGTTGAACAGGTATCCAACCGTCACCAAGACTGTGGAGGTATTTTGTAGATTCAGACAAAATCCCTTGACAATCCTGAAATGAACAATGGCTTTTGCCACAGCACAGTAAACTATCTCATGAAAGAAGCCAAGGACAGTGCATGTGCATGATACATCAAGTTATTTGTGCTAGCTAGCTAGGTGCATGGTGAAAGACGATTGTAAAATACCACACTGTAGAGCTGAAACTGGTCAGTCAGCTTTCTCCATAAAGGGCTGTCAACTCCAAAACACATTACCAACTGAAATTAAATTAATTACAAATATAAAATAATTTACAGTAAAGGCTAAGTGCTGGTTAAAATCAAATCAGAACTGTAGGCTGCCAATTTTCAGCTAATTGTAATGTCGATTACCAAGGTGTATTGCTTTATAGTGTATGTGTATTAGCGTATTATGGTATGGGTATTGAATGATGTGTATTTTATTGTATTTCCGTCTTCATAGTATGTGAGACTGGGAATGGGTTTAACACTTTTTGTCTCAGCACCTATAACTTGCTGAATTTTTGCGTTAGAATTCTCAAATTTTGACACAAAGTACCCTAATTGTTTCACCACAAATAGCAACATTGCCAACTTCTGCATCACATAACTCAGTAACTGATGTCCAATACAAGGAGGTCAATTGTAATAACCTGCCAAGCCCGGTCTCACTCCGAAGTTGTCGAAATCTGGTGCTTGGGCAGTGACTTGCGGTGTCAGAAACCAATGAAAAAATGTGTCCCAGAACATCAACAACCAACACACCCAGGGTACCTTGCACGTTGTATGTGGACGTGGAAAGTCCATGACCAAAAAGTCAATATGTGACAAGGTCAGAGTGAGAATGTGTTGACCTGCCCCACTACTGGGGTAAGTTGTAACAATAAGAATTGAATTAAAAACAACAACAATTGCACGTAAAAAACTCATACATCCAATAATAATCAAGTCCTGCTAAGGTCTGAGTTACTAAGCTGTACCTGTCAGATGCTTAGTACTTCACGTGGAGTGGGTCCAAAATACAAGTGAGCTGTCTCAGTTAAGTAACCAGCCAAGACATCTCTTCGCTTGCATTGAAGACTTTTTGATTGCTGTGATAGCCCACACAGGGCAGCTGTGCTGATCCTCTTCCTCTGAGGTTTTGTAATTTCTTGCAGTGTTTGCTCAGTGTCACATGGCAGACTGAGTATTATTTGGAGACAGACCTTACTGTCTTTCACACCTGAACATCAGTGTGTTGGCTGTAAAATCTGCAGACTTCTTAACGCAACTATGAAATGTCACATGTATGTTTGGAAGGAAGTGGTCATGCAATAAAATAATCTACTATGACTCATAGGTTATCCCTTCTTGGTGAAAGTGGTGCTGTTACAACCATCCCTGGTCTCCCTTGTATTGTGTTTTTTTTTTTACACTGAAAGCTATATATTTAAAATTAGATAGCAGATGTAAAAGCCCAACTGAGGACAAGAGTAAAAAATTAGCATCACCTATAAACTCTCTCAACAGCAAATCAGTTTAATGCTCTGTACTGGAACTATGTTAAATTGCATCTTCCCTGTAAAATCAAATAAATAAAAAACTAAATCATGATTAAAGATGCTTAGATTAATAATAACTTACAATAACAATAGAACACCAGAGTTGTTGCGAACGCAAGCTAGCTAGCCCCGGAGGGCTGTCCAGGCTAGCTAGGGAAATTGAAAATTCGTACTTTCACAGGCATTCATTTAATTTCTAATGGGAATAATTTAAAAAATACAGCAGGTGGTTGGAAATTGTCTCAAACAGAGGTGGAAAAAGTTTGCCAGGTGGGTTTAAAAGAACATAAAAATGATTTACTCTGACAGAGTGTGGCTGCCAGAAGCAATATAAACAAGACCATTGTTTTAATCAATGCTATTGAAGGTTTAGTTTATGGCCACAGACGGCAAGACTAATTGCACCACACCATCTACACCCTCCTGGATGGTTTGTATGGACTTTAATAGAGCTAAATCATGTTCTTCAAACATTACAAACCTGACAATATTTTGCCGTCTTGTTAGTCACTAAAAGCACATCTACCATCTGGTGAAATTTCTTTTCAATAGTTGTTCCTTTTGCAAACTTTATGAATGCCTGAGTGACTAAAATGGGTTCCCTTTGAGAGCCATTTGGCTTGTTCCTACAGGGCAGGAGCTCGCTAGCATTCAAACATTCAAGCTTTGAAAATCTTAAGAGAGACAATTTTATAATCTGTTTCCAAGGCTTGTAAAAGAAGAGCTAGACATTTTGACAAATACACATGCGATTTCTTGCCAAGGATGAGAATGCCACTGTCTAATAAATTTGAAGCAAAAGTCAGCAGCCAGTTGGCTCAGCTTGGCATAAGGATCAGCATCCGTAAATCTCACTAATTTACATGTTATGTCTTGTTTGTTAAAGTCACATCCCCCAGACAAGAAATAGTCAAGCACATAAACTTACATAAAAACACAAGTTGGTGTTTTGGGAACAGATTTTAACTTTGGAAAAAGCCAGGCTGCGTTCTGTCTTTATGCTAAGCCAAGATGAAGCCCAAAATGTCAAACCTTTACTTTAAGATATTTCTTTGTGGCATAGTGTGAACATTGTGCTTTTATATCTAAGTAATTTTAAGTCACTGACAGTCCATTTCTTTTGCCAGGTAAAGTCGTCCGGCATGCGAGTGGGTTCCACCAAGCGCAAGCGCTCTGAGCGCAAGGTGACGAGGATGGTGTCCATCGTGGTGGCGGTGTTCGTCCTCTGTTGGCTGCCTTTCTACATATTCAACGTCACCTCCGTCACCAGCTCTATCAACCCCACCTCTGCTGTGAAGAGCACCTTCGACTTTGTAGTGGTGCTCGGCTACGCCAACAGCTGCGCTAACCCCATCCTTTACGCTTTCCTGTCGGACAACTTCAAGAAGAGCTTTCAGAACGTCCTGTGCCTAAAAAAGGTGGCAGGCCTGGATGAGATAGAGCGCAGTGACAGCAGGGCAGACAGGAGCAGGATGGTTAACGATGCTATGATCATCAGCGCCAACTTGGAGACTCACAATGCTGCCCTGCTCAATGGTGAACTGCAGACCAGCATCTGAGCTGCAGTCACATCCAGGGAGGCCTAAGAGACTCAGCAGTGGCGCTTCCAGACTGATGAGCTACCAGTACACTGCCATTGACCCTTGTTCAAAGACGCGGGGGCAGGAGGATGATGTAATAGCTGTTGCTCATGGACATCGACACATGAACAAAGTCTAAGTGAAAAACAAACAATTTCGTAAGGGTTTGCAGAGGTCAGGGAAAGTACACTGACTTCAGCTCAAAACTCTTGATATTTGGGTTAACGAGGCAACTTGGGCTGGTTTGCCCTGAGGCGGAGCAAAAATGTTTCTCGCCTGAAGTGATTTTCAGCACAGCAGAAACAAGTGATGTTGAAATCAAACATAAATTAGAGTGCTCTGTAAGCTTGCCAGCATTGAGGTTCCTTGAGTTGTAAAAAGTCATGCAGACTGAACCAAAATTGAAAAACAGGAGTGCAGGATCTGAGAATGGACTGCTGTGGACCCACTGGAGAAATACTGGGGGTAATTCACCCATGGTAAAGAGAGATCTAAAAGGATAGAGCACCCTCCAGCTCACCTTGACGGAGTGTTTTGAGAGCTATAAAGGGTCTGCATTGATTTGAGTGTGGAAATACTGCTGAAGAAGTCAGCCAAATGTTTCAGTGGAGATCAGCCAACACTGTAATACTATAGACTTTGAAAGACAAAACTCTGAAACCACAAGTCAAAGGTGAAAAGCTTCATGGCTATGTTTTATTCATACCAGCTGATTAATGTCAACATGACATCTTATTTACCGAAAACCGGAGGATGCTCCTTCCTCTCTCTTGCTGGCACCTTGCGGGAGGAGCAGCATTGATCTGTAAACTCTCAAATCAGACATTCTGGATTATTGATTAAGTAGAAGGATGGAAAAACATCTTGGCGGCCACTCTGACCTTGCCATTTATAAAACAGCTTGACTTTGTATATACAAAATGGCTTTCTGTCAACCTCTGGGGGAAAGTTCCTGACATGGATGATGACTCTGTGTCCTAACCCACATGAATTTCAAAGGCATTCCCTGCTGTAAAGTTCTGTGTTCTTGTAATTCATCATGGACAGCTCTGAAGCTACGTGTGTGAATCCATCATATGTACTTTATACTTCACTCTATATGACTTTGCCTGGTCTTAATATTTCTCCCTGTGCCAGTGGTGCCATTGTAAAGAGCCCATTTCTACTTGTAAAGTGCTGTGTTTTGACAATGTAAGATTTCCTACTGAGTTCATGCTGAAATGTGGTCACTGCCCTCGGCTTCACATTTGGTTCAGCCAGTGTGCGCTTGCAAGAATGCCTCAGTTTCACAGAAGGCAGAAAAATGTGTCATGTAGTCTAACAGGGAGAAAAAGGCAGGATATAAGGAGACACAGAGAGAAGGAGATGGAACACATGGAGGCAAAACTTGACAGATTTTCGTAGGGTGGATGGATACAGCTGACAGGAAGAGAGCAGTGTGTGTGTGTTTGTGAGGTGAGTGATGAAGAGAGATAGAAAAATAGAGACATAACTTTAAACACATATATAAAAACTCTATAAATTGTTATTATAAGCCTTTTAACAGCCACTTTAGATGTTACCAGCTCTTGTGCAACAATGGCTCAGAAAGTCTGATTGTATTTGTTAAGTTATAACTTTACTCATATGTATCAATATATCAAATATACAGTTTAAAGATTTTTAAAAGGATGGTAAAAATCGAGGCAACAGGTGGTATGGGTCAAGCTCTAAAAACTATGGATCCTACATTTCCCAGGATGCAACTGGATCGTATCTTTTATCAGAACCTCTGAACCTGTTAAATGCCCACATTAATGCTAATTAAAAACATGGATTTAGTGTGAACTTAGTCATGACATTCCCACCAAGGCCACTTACTGTTAAAATATGAATTGTATGCTCACATATTGTATACCAAATGCCACATATAATGTAGTTTTAACCTGTCAAGTGACCTTGAATCAGTGTATCTTGCATCTCTCAGTGGCCTTCATTACATTGGATGGAAACGATTAGCAGGCAGCAGCTATAGATAAATGTGCATACATCTGCAGTACATTCCTGCACTATTTATAATTAGCAGAATCCTGAGAGACAGAAGACGGACAGGATGCCAGACTGATTAATGGAATAATCAATCAGTCAATCAGTAGAATGTCATAGAGTTTACCCTGTTTCTTTTTCAGTTCACCATTGTGGTTCATATTGAAATATCTCAACAACCATTGGATGGACTGTCATGAAATTTGGTACAGATATTCATGGTCATTGAATTGTAATAAATTTGGTGATCTCTTAACATTACATCTTGCATTATCATAAGGTCCAATTTTTAATTTAAGACCAAATACCTGCAAAACTAATCACATTCCGATTAGCCTCAGCTGTACTTTGTGTAGTTTTTTAGGAACTGTTAGCATGCTAACAGCTAAACAAGCCAGTAGGGGAATGCCCATAATTCTGACAGCTCATGACTCAGAAGCCCCAATAGTCCAAAAATGTCCCATCGGACCATAAGGCCATTTGTCCAATAGTCTGTTATCCCAAAAACAAATGTGCATTGCTCTAAAGGGTTGTTTCTCTGAAAGTAGTTTACACACTCATTATGCAGAATGAAAAGGACCTTCCAACAATTGTGAAGACATTACCCACCCTTTTCTGACTATTCTATTCTATTCTCTGACTGGCTAGTATGTTGCATCGATTGGTTGGGTTGGTTAGGTTAGGCATGGCATGACTAGGCATGACGAATGAGATTTGGTTAAGGTTAGTAGTAGAATATCAGGGTAAGCCAATCACAGGCAGAGTAAGGCAGGTCATGCCTTCGCATAAGTAGGAAGGTCCGATGACATCATTTTGCATAACAGTTAGCCATGTACTTCTTTTTGGGCCTTTCAGTCTATTGGGACAGTTTTTCAGACAACTGGGTCAGCAGAATTATGAATCGTTGTAAAATGGCATGGAACCAAACATCATACCTGTTAAATACCAGCATGTTAGCATGCCGATGTTAGCACTGAGCTCAAGTACAGCCACGCATCCACTAGCATGGCTTTAGACAAGTTAGTTAGTTAGTAAATTGGAATGTCTGTTCACTTATTTACATTGAAATAGCTCCAATGAATATATATGTTTAGCAACCTTGAACTTAAACTTATACCATTTGTCAGGATCATCAGCTTTTATAAATTGGCTTGCTAGTAAATTAGCTGGCTAAACAAATAGCTGTTTGCTAAGCTGGGCTGACACCACTTAATCTTGGAACGCACTGGCTATCAACTGATGACGATAAAGCTTCTGGGGGGCAACAGGTGATATTTCGGAGGATCCAGTGTAGCAAGGAAATATCCGGGACAAAACTCTTCCATGCGCCACTCATTTCAGCTAGTCTCTAAACACAGAAATCTGCATATACATGATTACATTTCGGCCAACTTGTGACGTGATACAACATGATAGATCAGTACTACTCTGAGTATAATCACAAACCACAAATGCTTTTGATAAGAAAATCTTGTCCCATTGCCTACAGATTCTGCATATATGCATATATCTGTTTATAGAGATTAACTCCACTAAGCTACCGTTTCCTAAGTACAACGCTACAACAAAAGACCTTGTCACAGTGACCTAAACCTTATCACTCCATTAATACTGACTGAATGAGCCCACATCCATAGCAGATACCTATTTCCGTTTCAGCTATCAACCTGTTTGTGCACAGTGGCTTTTCCAACGCGCCTCCATGATTGAGCCACACCTGGTTGCCAGGAGATTTGTCAAATAACTGCAAGCCTCTATAGCAATAAGGTCGTCCACCACATGCTGCAGTGTCAGATTCACTTCGTCCCAGTGTATCAGTCAAGTCATAAGCCATCAATCAGTGCAATCAAAGAGATGAAGGTCCAGACAGGGCTTGTCCTGGGAGGTTACGGCAGAAAATAATTTGGCATGGTATTCTTTCTCGCTGCTGTCACTGCTAGTTGTAGTATTTGCAGCAGGGTCAGTCCCATCTTCATTCACAGGTCAAAATACTCACAGTCATAGACATTTGAAGGCATGCATGTAGGTACAGTTTCATATGATGTATAAGAATACAAGAAACTACACTCTCTAGCCATGTTGCTCTCAATGCGTCACACAGACGTAAGTTGTCTGAGTAATGCAGAAGGTGATGAGGGTGACCAATTCCGCATCAAGGAGTCATACTGACCTAGACTGTGTTTGTGTAACTGTGTGAAACATAACATGCCAAGACCAAAGGCTGAATGTGAGTGATACCCAGTACCAGAAACATGTTTGGATTGCAACTCGATTATTACACGTAAAGAAACCTGTGAATGAAACATGTTGTATCTTTTTGTATATCTGCCAATATTCTGCCAAATGTGTATCACAGCAAGAAACTCATTTGACAATCTCACCCATTGCTGTTAAGGTATTTAGCGCCTTCAAGCCTGAAGTGCAAAAACTATTATCTCATCATCCACAGTTAATTACTTTTGCTCTGTCCTTCTATCCTTCTCTCTCTCTCTCTTTCTTTTGCATGCACAGCTGGTGCAGAATAATATGAGCCGACACCAACCCAAACTCAACTGAGCTGAAATGAACTGAACCATACTGAAGGAAACACACTATGCCTGTTGTTGCCGCTGGCTATTTGGACATACTTAATGGACTTAATGTACTTAATGGACCATTCTGATGTTTATTAGATGTTGATAACAAGGTTTGTGCCAAAACCAGTGTAAATGTAGCGCTAAAAGGACAGCTGAGGAAATGAGATGGTGGCGGTTGTCATTTTGTGAAATCCACACCTAATTATCTCTCTGAAAATGAGGTCATATTCTGGAAAAGTAATTTGGGTCGACATGGCTCTTTGTTCACCAGGCACAATTAACTGCCAAATGTGAAAAGGACATTTGTCCGTATTTCTGTCTGGTTCCTGCCACTGTATAGTGTACAGATGAGAGGAAGAAGCAGGGGAATGGGAAACCTCTGCCTTCTTGTGCTCAAGTTTCTTTTTTCGGAAACACAAGTTCATTTGCGAAGGGCTAGAACGTGTACTCCTGAGGATGCACTGTTCAATATTAACTCTATGTATTTGTGGTATCCTCTGCTTGTTCTTGCATGGGGAAGATTGCGTATCCCATTTTATGTGTCTCCTCATTAACCAAAACCAGTGTTACACACTTACTGGGTGGCCACTTTTTTTTGCTAGGAACACGATCAGAAAAAAAGGTACAGAGATGTGCTTGAGTTTGGGTTCAGCTTTAGCAACAGCAGGTGCAACTTTGTAGCTTTTTAAGTTATGATCAGCAGCAAATACCAGTTGATCTCAAAGAAATAAAACTGTATGTAGGTTTCAACACTACAGATGAGAATCTTGATTGAGCCACATTTTAGCCAGGCTGGTCATAACTTACATGCTTGTTTCTGACAGTGTACAGCCATGGATACTTTTATGTGCAGTTACTTTTATCTATGTGCCTTGAAACTAAATATAAACTCATGTGATGACATCAATGTACAGCAAAACAACATTGTAACCTGTTTCTCCAAAAGTCAAACAACCAAAGGCCTTTGTACTGTACAAACATGTTGGTAACCAAAACATAACACAGACCTATTGTATATCATTTTAGTACTATCTCCCCAGCTTACATAGCTTATGTTTGTGTGATATAATGTGGGAAGCAGATGTTTATTTGTGACTCTTTATTGTTGCATAGAATATAATGTGATCATTGATTGTAATGGACAGGCCACAGTGTCCTCGTCTCTGCAATTAAAATGCAGACCAGTTTCTGCTCCCATGGTCAAACCTGTGTATTTGTGTGTCAGTGGATGTGGTTAGTGTTGGCGTGGACTCACTTAGCTAAATACACTATGTATGATGACTGTTGTATATCTTAGAAATTTCCAGGAAATGCAACTTGGAAGGGCTCTTCACTGTGTATTTCCCCCAGGAATGCAATCCATGGAGGAACTCCAAGTTTTCCCTAGATCCCTGAACACATCATACAGAATACACTGTTGTATACACATAGTGCCTAGTGTGGGATTCAGTGAATACCAGCGTTTCTCAAGGGGATGTGAACTCTCAAACACTTAAATATCAACACTCATTCTGTCACAACAAAGCTCAACAAGAGTTTGCCAAAAGAGAAATTAGGTCTTAGCTCAAGGAGTCCTATTCAGTCATGATTGTCCCATTCTATACCATAAAAGTTAGAACCATTAGGAAATGTTTCATAACCACTTTCACTGCACTCAAGAACTGTTGTTAAGTCACCTTATAAGACACATATGTCCAAAGTCTGGCCCGAGGCCAATCGTGGCCTGCTGACCAACTTTAAACAGCTCTCCGCTTGACTTTCAAAATATACTATATACATGATATTGGTTTATCAAGCTATATTGCTTTGCAGTTTTCCTTCTCCTCAAAATGGTTGGACTATCACCCAGTTTCTAGACATTCATCAAATAGGAGCTACAGAGGTGGAGCTAATGTGTATTCTTAAACAGATGGTAAACAAGCAAACAGAGCGATTACACAACAGCAGTCATTTCCTGTTAGGAGATACGGCCACAGAAATGATGCGTAAAGTTGACAGCGAGGGCCGCCGCTTTCAGGAGAGTTGAATACATTTTCACTGAAAGATGATCTGTCTCATTTGTTTGAGTGTTTGATTGTTTGTTTTAGTAACCAATTTGATGTGAAAAGCAGCTGGCCCTGAGGTATTTTCACATTATATAATCCGCCCCCCATTCCAAATATTTTGGACACCCCTGTTGTAAGCATCCAGTTAGTGACCTGAAAATAAAAAGCTGGATGTCAAGGTTAAAGCAGGCTAAATTTAAGTTTAAATGTTTTAGACATCTAAGTAACATTGTTTTGGCAGCATTTTAATGACTGTATTCCAATATTAAGCCTACTGTAGTTAAGAACTGCTTCACACTGAAACATAGTAACATGAGTGCTGTTTAAACATTATATAACATAGTCTAAAAAACTTAAGCTTACCAAACAAATGTTTTGTCAGCGGTGCTAGCAGTGTAGCTCTAGAAATGGCAATGTTGTTCAGTTGGTCAACCACTTTGGTCCAGAGTGACTGTCGATAGATGATTTGCCTTGAAATTTTTCAAGATAGTGCCATGGTTCCCACAGGATAAAATGCAATAATCCCATAATTTTCATGCCTTACATCAGCCTTAGCTGAACTTTGTGTTTAGTGCTAATAAGCATATGTTAGCATGCTAATACGCTAAGCTAAAATAGCGTCCATGTTAGACATAAACTGCTTAACATTATCGTATCAACATGTGGGCATGTTAGCATTCTAACATTAGCATTTTACTCAAACCACTACTTCTCACAGAACTGCTTTCACTGCTTTCACTAGTGGAAGTGTTAATTTAAGAGATCTGTAAAACAATTTTGACATGTAACAAATATGTTTTTTACATGTAAAAATTCCGTTTTACCCAGTCAAAACTGATACACAGATATCCTTAGTTACCAGTAATTCCCATTTAACAAGTAAGAATAATGATTAGGCCTACACTGTGACTCGTGGAAATGTAATTTCCCATTTAAGATATCAGCCAGCAACTGCATCTCTGATATGTCCGACATATCATCAAACTCTATTGAATATGTAGGTGTCAAATTATTAATGTAACAAAATGCCATTGGTCAACTTTGGATATGTAGCCAAAATTAGCACAATATGTATGTAAGTCGCTAAAGGTACAATGACATTTTTGACTAATAGAAATTTCACTTTCATAACTAGAATTCAATTCTAAGTAGTTATAAAAGGAATTTCAGATATTTTGAATATAACTGTTAGTAGTATGAATATTATTTCCACTGGTTACAACTGTATTTTAGATATCTGAAATTACATTCTTATTAGTTACAACTCCACGTTGACACACCAATAATGTAATTTTGACTAGTCAGAATCGAATTGTAGAAATCTACAATTCAATTTATGATAGCCATAATGTAAGAACAGTAGATATCTACAATGAACATTGCCACTAGTAAATCAACAATTAACATTTTCATTAGTGAGAACTGAATTATAGATATGCAAAGTCAAAATTACATTATGGATATATCGACCTGAAATTGTAACAGGTCAAATCTGATTTCAAAACTGAAATTACAGAGATCTGTAATTCAGTTTGAATAAAAGTCAATGGAAAAAAGTTGATTAGTTGTAATTAAGTTACAGATCTTTACAAAGAACATTTCCACTTTTAAGAAATCAAGAATTAATATTTTGCCCAATGAGAAATCAATTCTTTAAATAGAATTACTTCTGGTCACAATTGCATACAGATATGTTGGCTTGGAATCCTAACAAGTCAAAAAACAACTGATATCTACAACTGCTAGTACTGCAACTGATTAAATGTTAAAAGGGCTTGCCATAAACCCACAGCCTCACATGCAGACAGCAGCTAAAGCTTTAATAGCTAATCCAGGAGGCTACTTTCTATGTTTATTTTCTGTCACACTCAGAGACATTTGAAACGATTTACATAAAATTTGATTTAATTTGGAAGTCTTTCAGAGGCTTGTGCGGCTTCTTTTTATGTTAAGTTAAGCTTGTTAAGTTATTATAACCCAGTAATCAGAATGGCCAAAACAAATATGGGAAAAATACCAAATAGTTGAAAAATAGCAAAATGTCCTTAACGCTTATAAAGCACCCACGGTAAAGAAAATTGTGTGAAGTTGTAGCTAAAAACCTAAATCATCTTATGAGGTGACAAAATCATATGAAATGCATGTTTCACTTGGTCTAATGTGGATTTATTGAGACATTCACTGACATGTACAAGTAAGTTAGGCTCAATTCAGTACCTTCCACACGAGTAAGGCTACTTGCGAATACCTCATATCACCTCTCGTTCTCCCTCCCGCCTGAGTCGCCTCCATATGACTCATGACTATGAACACTGTGCCAATCTGCACTGCTGAGGATTCAGTTCCACCGTAAAAACAAGTAATGTATTCAATAATGAATGTCGTGCTTGGGGGTGTTTTAATGTGGTGGTGGTGGTGGTGGTGTCAGGTGAGAGGATGGAAATGAGGATTAAATGCACAAAGTGGAGAGTGAATCCACATCCACCTCGAGCCAGCTAAATACGAGTTTTGGGAGAATCAAGTCTGAATGGAAAAAAAGGCAGCAAACGCAGCCCTTGTTTCCTCAGTGTGGACAACTACAGATTTATTATAGCGGGTCAGCACTGTGCCAAAGCCTTGTGATCAAGCCTCTGTGTTTGACCTTTTCAATAACCAGACAGAAAAATGACTTGTCAAACTACTTTCGGAAAATCTTTTGAAAAGTTCTGTTACATAATACAGACACTGGGTAAGACAAACTTAAGCCAAGTAGACCAAACTAGAATCAGTGTATGAAAAACTTCATGTACCACAGCTCATATGAAGTGTACTGAACATGAGGGAAATCAAACTCTGAAGTTACTTAGGCTAATTTCAAAGGTCAGACAGAACCCTGTTCAAGCAAAGATTAGGTTTCTGAGTCAAGGTTTCAGCTTGACCATTACATTTTTCCAGTTTGCTCTGAAAGGTCTTCCCACACGCAAGGCACAAGCTAAAAAAAAACATAACACCAGCAAGGCCGGTGTTACAAAGCTCATCATGACTACAATGGATATTCGTCATGCTGCACTTGATCCTCACAGAGAATTCAATCTGTTCAAGCTCACGTTCTACTCCCACTATTAATAATTTTAGCCATGTAGGCGTCCATTTTTTACATAATAGATGCCATTCTCACCATTAAACCTGCAATTGTGGAAACGAGCTGTAAACACATCACTGACTCATTATCTCCTTTTAGTTTGATATGGCTAACATGTTAGCCATCAGTTGCCTCTCTACACATTCAGCAGATACGAAGAAACATCAGCCTTCATTTAGAGTCATGTCCTGGCTACCTGGTTTAATAAGTCCAGTATTCACACCCCTTTAGGCTCTGATTTTGGTCTCCACCAGCTCCTGAGGGAAATATCTGACTCTCATTCATTCATTCATTTTTTGTAACTGCTTATCCTGCTGGGGGTCCCAGGGGGCTGGAGCCTATCCTAGCTGACATTGGGGTGGACTATCACAGGGCTGACACATAGAGACAGACTACCATTCACGCTCACATTCACACCTACGGGCAATTTAGAGTCACCAATTCACCTAGCCTGCAGGTCTTCTGGACTGTGGATGTCTTTGGACTGTGGTAGAAAGCCATAGCACCCAGAGAAAACCCATGCTGACATGGGAAGAACATGCAAGCTCCATACAGAGGAGTTCCTCCACCCTGGGTTTGATCCAGGAACCTCCTTGCTCTGAAGCAACAATGCTAACCACTGCACCACTGTGCCGCCCAATCCCTGACTCTTTAGTTGATAAATGCTCCACTATGTTCACCTGCTTTGTCTGCCTGCTGTTCAGTGCTGGGCGTGTAGCGTACAGTTGCTTTTGTTTCTGAAAACAGCCTTTTGCAGACAAAAAAATGATATGACACCTATGAGACTGAAGGCTTTTTTGCTTATAGGTAGATAAACTGCAAAAGGCCAGAAAATGAGGAGGGTATACCCAGAATACCTGCATACATCCTTCGCTACACCACTGGCTAAAACACTTAATGTTTTTCTACTACTGTTTATACTACTGTTGAGTTTTGTGTTGTAATCTGCTGATTTGCTTCGACCATAGAACAGAATTTTTACACCCCCCGATAGAATGACGGATGAATGCATGGAAAGGAACAAATACATGCCTCATGA